ACGAGGCTGCTCAGGGCTCCCTGGGTCCTGCTCTGGGCTGCAGCTCATTTTTTTACGTGAAATGGACATAGGCCTAAATATTCCAGCCACATCATCAAGCAGGCTGTGCTCCTTGGAAATCTTTTTTTTTTTCCAGCCACCCCTGAGTTCCCTTGGGCCCCCGGGGTGGAAGGGGTCCTGTAAACTCTTTTGCATCCACATACCCTCCCCTCCCCTCAATTTCTGTCTGGTTTTCTTTCTTTCTTTCTTTTTTTTTTTTAAAATATGTTTTTATTGATTTTAGAGAGAGGAAGGGAGAGGGAGAGAGATAAAACATCCATGTAGAGAGAAAGATCAACATCCATGGGCTGCTTCCTGCACACCCCCTGCTGGGGGTCAAGCTCACAACCTGGGCCTGGGCACTGACCGGAATGCAACTGGTGACCTCTTGGTGCATGGGTACCCGCTGGGCGCCCACTGGTTTTCTTCACCTCATCCTCTACCCTAGCCGTCTTGTCAGAGTCTCTTCTTATCTCCTCATTGCTCAACTGCATATTGTGTATGGCCTCTGTATTCCTTGATTCTCAGGCATTCCTTCATTTTCACTGTAGAGTTGTCCATGTTGAGATGTCCCCTCCTTTTTCCCATCCTGTGGTAATTCTGGACAGGTGCCACCGTTTCTAGCCTAGCTGAGTGCTGAGAACAACAGACACGTAGGCTTTTTCCTTTCCGTGCCCATTCCAGTGTTCTGTAGGCAGCAAGGAAGGCCCTCACACTGACCTGTAAGAGCTTGGAGCGACAATTAGGAGTTTGCAGACAGCTCAGCAAGTGAAGGAGTCTTTTCACTTTTTCTGGGAACACTGCTGGATATGTTTCAGTTTAACAGAAAACCAACAGCCTGAAAGGCATATGAAGAGGTATTTTAAGTCATTACTAACCAGAGAATAGAAGTTAAAACAACAATAAGACATCACTTGACATTTATTAGACTGGCCCAGATAGGCTGGGGGATGCCAAGTGGTGGTGGTGGAGCTGCGGGAGTCTAGGAGTCTATCAGGGGGCTGTAGATGAGCCAGGTGTGGATGCCCACCATGGAGAACTGGGCAGCAAGTTCAAGCAAAAGACTAGCTGTACACATAGCAGCATGGATCAATCTAGAAAGCATTGTGCCAAGAGGAGAAACAATGACATATAACTCAATACCATTTCTACAAGTTTGAGAAACAAAACAAGACAGTGTTAAAGAGAACAAAACTGTAGCTATTAAATATCTTAGATTGGTTGCCTAATGGGGGAGGGAAATGGAAATAAAAAAGAACAAATATTATTTCTATAAACTTGCAATGAGCAATCTGAAAATAAAATTAAGAAAGCAGTTGTATTTACAGTACCATCAAACAATAAAATACTTAGGAATAAATTTGACAAGAGAAGCACAAAAATTATACTTTGAAAACTATAAAACTATTGTTGAAAGAAATTTAAGAAGAGCTAAATAGGTGATATGGAAAAGCACCTTGTCTTAATCTTCTCAGGTTGCCATAGCAAATACCTTAGAATGAGTGGCTTAAACAACAGAAATTTATTTCTCACAGTTCTGGAGGCTGGGAAGTCCAAGATCTAGATGCTAACTGATTTGTTTCCTGGTGAGTGGTCTCTTCCTCATAGATGAACACCTTCTTACTATCTCCCCAGGTGTGGAGAGAGATATCATTTCTTTCTTCCCTCTCCTGTCTCTTATAAGAGCACTAATCCCATTCGAGGGCTCTTCCCTCAGGATCTAATTACCTCTCAAAGGCCCCACCTTCAAATACTATCACACTGAGGACTATGAATTTTGCTTGGACACAAGCATTCAGTCCATAGCACATCCCTGAAACACATTCATGGATTAGGCGACAACATTGCTAAGATGGCGGTACTCCCCAAATTGATCTACAGATCAGACGCAATTCCTATTAGAATCTCAGCTGACTTCTTTGGAAAAATTAATAAACTGATTTGAAAGTTTCTATGACATTGTAAGAATCCCAGAATAGCCAAAGCAATCGTGAAAAAGAGTATCTTATGTGGATTAACAAGGAGCCATGGACTAAGGGCCTCTTTACATGAGACCCCCACTGCCAAAAAAAAAAAAAAAGGGGAATTTGTTTTTAATTACATGGTAGTGTCTGAGAGTACAAGGCCTATGTTTTTTCCATGGTTCTCCCATAACTGAGTTTTCTTATTGCCACAGGTTTCTTTTTCTTTTTAATTTATCTTTATTGTTGACAGTACAGGTGTCCCATCTTTTCCCCCCAATTGACCCCCTCCACCTCACTCCCAGCCCCTCTCCAGGCCTTTACTCCATTATTGTCTGTGTCCATGGGTTATGCATATATGCATATAACTTCTTTGGTTAATCTCTTCCCACCCTACACCCCCTTTCCCTCTTCCCTCTGAAATATGATCGTCTGTTGTATGGGTCAATGTCTCTGGATCTATTTAGTTCATCAGATTCTTTTGTTCATTAGCTTCTTCTTAGAGAAGACCCTTCAACATTTCATGTAGTACTAGTCTGGTGGTGATGAACTCCTTTAGCTTTTCCTTGTCTGAGAAGCTCTTTATCTGACCTTCAATTCTAAATGATAGCTTTGCTGGGTAGAGCAATCTTGGTTGTAGGTTCTTGTTTTTCATCACTTTGAACATTTCTTGCCACTCCCTCCTGGCCTGCAAGGTTTCTGTTGAGAAATCAGCTGACAGTCGTATGGGTGCTCCCTTGTAGGTAACTAACTGCTTTTCTCTTGCTGCTTTTAAGATTCTCTCTTTGTCTTTAACCTTTGGCATTTTAATGATGATGTGTCTTACTGTGGGCCTCTTTGGATTCCTCTTGTTTGGGACCCTCTGTGCTCCCTGGACTTGTAAGTCTATTTCTTTCCCCAGGTAGGGGAAGTTTTCTATAAATATTTTTTCAAATAGGTTTTCAATTTCTTGCTCTCTTTCTTCCCCTTTTGGCACCCCAGTAATACAAATGTTGGGTTGCTTGAAGTTGTCCCAAAGACTCCTTACACTATCTTCATATTTCTGGATTCTTTTTTCTTTTTGATCTTCTGGTTGGGTGTTTTTTGTTTCCTCATGTTCTAAATTGCTGATTTGATTCTCAGCGTCTTCTACTCTACTGTTGATTCCCTGTAAATCATTCTTCATTTCAGTTCATGTAGCCTTCATTTCTGATTGGTACTTTATCAAGTCATTGATGGTTTCACTTATTTTCGTAATAGTCTTACTAATATCCTTGAGCATCCTTATAACTGTAATTCTGAACTCGGTATCTAGTAGCTTGCTTGGTTCTATTTCTTTTAGTTCCTTTTCTGGAGATTTCTTCTGTTCTTTCCTTTGTGACATGTTTCTTTGCCTCCACATTTTAGCTTCTCCCAGGTGTTTGTTTCTATGTATTAGGTAGAGCTGCTATGTCTCTTGGAATTTGTAGAGTGGCTTTGTGTAGTAGGTGTCCCGTCACCTGAGCTGGGCCTTCTAGGTGCTCCCCTGTGTGGGCTATGTGCACTGTCCTGTTGTAGTTGAGCCTTGGTTGCTGTTGGTGTCACTGGGAGGAACTGACCCCCTCCCAGGCCAATCAGCTGTGAGGATCAGCTGCAACTACAGCCAGAGAGCTGCTGTGCTGGAAACACCCTTATGGGGCAGGATTTACTTCAGTGGAGCTTTGGTGTTCACCAAGTGTGCCCCTTGAGTGTGTCACTCGTGGGTGTGGTAGGGTTGTAATCCAGTGTGGTGGAGTCTGGTCACCAGGTGCACTGTCTCTGGGGCCTTTTGGGAGGTGCAAAGTCAGCCTGTGCCAGTGCCTTGCCCAGGGCCACCCAGCATGAGCTACACAGCAGACCGTAGTTGGCTGCTGTTTGTGCTGGGCTTGGTGTTGTCCAGGAGAGGCCAAGCCATGAACCAATGCGGGCTGCCGCTAGTGCCAGGCCTGGCCACTTATCAAGCCCTATGGGGCCCGCTGCTGCTTGTTTGAGAGATTTTAGGAAAGTCCTAATCGTGAGGCTCAAGAGGCCACTTGCATAGAAAAGCCCCTGGAAATGGCCTGGATGAGCCTGAAGGTGGGGAGGGCCGGGGCCTCCTGGAATCACGGGGGTGGGGCCAAAGGTGTGAGTCAGGTGCTGGTGATTCAAATATGGCGCCTGCCTGCCGGCTGTGGGGAGGACTTGCCAAAGGAGCAATGGCCTCTGCTAGCCCTTCTGCCTGGGAGGAAGCTGCTCCCCCCAGCTCTCATCCTGACTTCTGGCAGGTTAGTTCCTCCCTGAGTGTCCCAGGTTCCTTTCAAGCTGCTGCCCGGCACTGGGCTCAGAGGGAGCGTCCGAGTGAGTCTGTGCGCGGGCCCTTTGAGAGGAGTTGCTGGGGCTCCCATAGCCTCTGCGTCCCTCAGGGACAGTCCCCGCTGGTTTCACAGCCCAAAGCTGTGGGGACTTCTTTTCCAAGCCCTGGGACCCTGGGCTGGGGGCCTGCTGTGGGGCTGGGAATCCTCCCTTCTCCGGGAAACCTCTGCTGCCGAGATTCCCTCCCCGGTTTAACCCACGGCACTGGGTGTGGGCCTGAGGCCCCGATTCAGCCCCGATCCGCCTCGTCTCCGCCCCTCCTACTGGTCTTGGTGTTCCTTCAGTTCCCTGGTTGTGGGGCTTCTGTTCAGCCGGATTTCAGGAGGTTCTGAGTGACGGTTGTTCTGTATTTTAGTTGTAATTTTGATGTGGTTGCGGGAGGCGTCGGGTGCAGCTGTTACCTACGCGCCATCTTGTTTCTCCTCCCAAAGGTTCCTTGAGCGTGGAGATGGCAGGGAAGGTTCAGACTGCGTTGCTGAATGACAATGTCACCATCTCCTGCAAGGTCCCTGGTTTGTCACACCTGGACCCCGAAAGTGTGGGTGTTGTCTGGTTTTGGAAGAATCAGATGAATAAAACAGAGGAGATGGTGTTTTGCTTGTACGGAAACCATCGAGAGTCTTTCCGATCTGGAGCTTACGTGTCTCCAAGTTGGCTGGAGAGCGGGGACGCCTCACTGCAGCTGCCTGGAGTCCAGGTGTGGGAAGCAGGAGAGTACCGATGTGTGGTGGTGATCACTCCTGAGAAGGCCCAGGGAACAGTCTCTCTGGAGGTTGTGGGTGAGTACCTGATGCAGTGTCCTATGGTTCCCATGCGATGGAGTTTGGGGTAGAGATGTGGATGGGCTGAGTGGAGCAGAGGTTTAGGTCAAGGGCCTTGGAATCAGATAGATGTGGGTTTGAGTCCTGGGCTTCCATGGACTTCTGGACAACTTAGGGCTAAGTTATTAATCATGCTGAACCTCAGTGTCCTTTGCTCTAAACAAATGTAATAGTACCTCAATAGAGATCCTATCTTCAAGTACAGTCACAGTCTGAGTGACTGGGGTTAGGACTTCAACATAGGAATTTGGGGATGGGGGCCACAATTCAGCCTATAATGGGGGCAATGTTTATGAGCCCTCCAAAATTGTACTTAAGACTTTGAATGTTTTACACATCTTAATTTGGGGGGTGGGGATGCATATTAAGATTCATTTCCTCTACAACTGACAGAAAGCCTAGAAAGATTTAAAAAAAATTAATAAACTTTATTTTTTAGAACAGTTTTAGATTTATAGAAAAATTGCAAAGATAGTACAGTTTACATATGACTCCTGGCTCTACACACCGCTTTCTCTATTATTAACATTTTGTATTAGTATGGTACATTTATTACAATTAATGAACCAATACTGATACATTTTTATTAATTGAAGTCCATACTTTATTCAGATATCCTTAGCTTTTACCTAATATCCTTGATAATTTTTCTTGTTCTGAAGGCTAGTTTGAAATTCATAAAGCTGCTCTAGTTTTCTTTGGATTAGTGCTAGTATTGTGTATCTTTTTAAATCCCTTTACTTTTGTTGTTGTTAATTCTCACCTGAGTATATTTTTTCCATTGATTTTTTTTTTTTAAGAGAAAGTGGAAGGGAGGGAATGAGGGGGAGAGAGAGAGAGAGAGAAATATTGATGTGAGAAAGACATCCATTGGTTGTCTCCTGCATGCACCCTGACCAGGGCCAGGGACCGAACTTGCAACCCAGGTACTTGCCATTGACTGGGAATTGTACCCACAACCTTTTGCTGCGGCAGGCCGATGCTCTAACCACTGAGCAGCACTGGCCAGGGAAAATCCCTTTACTTTTAATCTATGTGGATCTTCATATTAAAATGGTTTTCTTTTTTTTAATTGAATTTATTGGGGTAATATTGGTTAATAAAATTATATAGGTTTCAGGTATACAGTTCTGTAATACATCATCTGTATATTATATTGTGTGTTCACCACCCCAAGTCAAGTCTCTTTCCATTATCATTTATGTCCTCTATATAAAGTGGATTTCTTGTCGAAACACATATTTGAGCCTTTTTAAAAATCCACTCTGATAATCTCAGTCTCTTAGTTTATGTGCTTAGACCATTCATTTAAAGTGATTGCATATAGCCCTGGCTGGTGTGAGTCGGTTGGGTGTGGTCCCGTGCACCAAGGGGTTCCATGCAGGAGGCAGCCCATTGATGCTGTGTCTCTGACATAAAGTGGCTTAAGAAACTGCTTTAGAAAATGGCTTTGAGAGTCAGGGTTATGGCCTATCAGCACCTTGCTGCCACTGAGATCAACATACCCAGAATACTTAGGCTATGCAGAATCCCATTTGCTTGACTCACCCTTTCTGAAGGCTTGCTATGGGTTAGACATTGAACTGAAAATAAGCTAGTCCCAACCTACCCTCAAAGCATGACTTCTTTCCCTTGGCAGCTTCCCCAGTTATCAGCTTGTTTCTAGAGCAAGCAGTGGTGAAAGATAATGATGACAAACATATTTTGTGCAAAGCAAGTGGGTTCTACCCAGAGGACATTAACATAACGTGGCATATATGGACCCTGAAGAATCGCCAGTGCCTGGAGGTTTCTGAGGACATCACCACTTGTCCAGCCATCAAAAATGAAGATGGCACATTTAGCATCACTAGCCGTTCAAAGCTGAAGCACTCTCTGGAACACAATGTGATCGCCTACCTATGTGTGATAAGGCACATATCCTTGCCCACTTCCTGGAGGTGGAACTCCACCCTGGCTGGGAGAGGTAAGCATCCTCCTAGACATTTCCCCTGCTCTTCACCTTGAGGGGGTATAACATAACACTCAGGTTCCCAGTTAGTCTAGGCCAAAATAGGGGCCAATGNTAACATAACACTCAGGTTCCCAGTTAATCTAGGCCAAAATGGGGGTCAATAGGGAAGGAGAGAAAGCTTGATTTGGCCTAGCTCAGCCCCAGAGTCAGCAGTCCAAACTAGGTCCCTCAGCCAGGGCAGAAAGGTCTAATAGGTGGAGAGTTGTGATAATAGTCCTCAGGACTTCTGTTAGCTTATGGCAGCTTAAGTGATCTGAGTGGGCTATGTGACCTGAAGTGGGTAGCTTGCCAGTTGCTAGGAGAAAGGGGATAGGATCCTGTCCATGTCCCCTGAGGATAAGCAAGAGCTGACTGGGTGTGCCAGATGGGGCCTGGGATGGTGCTGGAGGGAGAGAGGATTGCTTTTGGAAGCAAGGGCCAGGGATGTGTATAGGGTATGTGTGGGGCATGGAGAGTATGGAATTGAAATATGCTTTGTGTGTATGAAATAAGAGATTTGTCTTGGTGATTTGTGTATGCCTTAGTGTATTTGGGCTGCTATAACAAATTGCCACAGGCTGAGTGGCTTATACTCAACAGCTTTATTTCTCACAGTTCTGGAGGCTGGAAGTCTGAGGTCAGTGTGCCAGCATGGTTGGGTGAGGGCTTTCTTCTGGGTCACAGGTTTCTTGTTGTATCCTACATAGTGGCAAGGATGAGGGATCTCTCTAGGGACTCATATAAGGGCACTAATCTCATTCATGAGGGCTCCACCCTCATGACCTAATGACGTCCCAGAAAACTCACTTCCTAATACCATTACATTGGTTATTAGGACTTCAACATATGAATTTTAAGGGAACACAGATATGCAATATATAGCAGTGTGTAGTGTTGTAAGATGGTGTAGTAGTGTGGAAGCTTTGAACGTGTGCATGGCATATCTATGTGGTATGTGGTGTTCGATATTGCTGTGTATTTCTGGCAAATGCTAACCCCACTGTTTGATGTGTGGATGTGGATGTCATAGGAATGACAAGATGTGTGGTTACACCAGCTGAAGTGAGATGTAGCTTTAACTTAGATGTGTTGTTGAAGAATGAAATGGGCAGCAATTAGCAGTCTCTACACAACAGTGTTCCAAAGCTTTCCTCAGATTCTCAAAGGTGTCTATGACATGAGGTGGCTTAAGAAACTACTTTAGCCCTGATGGGTTTTGCTCAGTGGTTAGAGCATCAGCCTGTGGACTGAAGGTCCCAGGTTTGATTCCAACCAAGGGCACATACCTTGGTTGCAGGCTAGATCCCTGGCTCCGGTTGGGCGAGTGCTGGAGGCAACTAGTTGATGTGTCTCTCTCACATCGATTCCATCTCTCTCTCTCCCTCTTCCACTCTCTCTGAAAAACAATGGAAAAAATATCCTCAGGTGAGGATTAAAAAAAAAAAAAAAGAAAAATGAGAAACTCTGCTTTAGAAAATGGCTGTGAGAGTCAAAGTCATGGCTTATCAGCACCTTGCTGGCACTGAGATCAACATACCCAGAATACTTAGGCTAAGCAGAATCCCATTTGCTTGACTCACCCTTTCTGAAGGCTTGCTATGGGTTAGACATTGAATTCATAAAAAGCTAGTCCCAACCTACCCTCAAAGTGTGACCTCTGCCGGGCCGGGCGTGGCTCAGCGGTTGAGTGTCGACCTAGGATTCAGGTGATCGGGGTTCGATTCCTGGTCAGGGCACATGCCCGGGTTGCAGCCGATCAATGACTCTCTCATCATTGATGTTTCTATCTCTCTCTCTCCCTCTCCTTTCTTCTCTATGAAATCAATAAAGATATATTAAAAAAAAAAAAAAAAAAAAGTGTGACTTCTTTCCCTTGGCAGGTTCCCCAGTCACCAGTGTGTTTCCAGAGCAAGCAGTGGTGAAAGATAGTGATGACAAACATACTTCGTGCAAAGCAAGTGGGTTCTACCCAGAGGACATTGACATAATGTCGTGTATATGGACCCTGAAGAATTGCCAGGACCTGGAGATTTCTGAGGACATCACCATTGGTTCAGCCATCAAAAATGAAGTTGGCACATTTAACATCACTAACTGTAGGAGACCGAAGCACTCTCTGGAACACAATGTGATCACCTACCTATGTGTGATAAGGCATATATCCTTGCCCACTTCCTGGAGGTGGAACTCCACCCTGGCTGGGAGAGGTAAGCATCCTCCTAGACATTTCCCCTGCTCTTCACCTTGAGGGGGTATAACATAACACTCAGGTTCCCAGTTAATCTAGGCCAAAATGGGGGTCAATAGGGAAGGAGAGAAAGCTTGATTTGGCCTAGCTCAGCCCCAGAGTCAGCAGTCCAAACTAGGTCCCTCAGCCAGGGCAGAAAGGTCTAATAGGTGGAGAGTTGTGATAATAGTCCTCAGGACTTCTGTTAGCTTATGGCAGCTTAAGTGATCTGAGTGGGCTATATGACCTGAAGTGGGTAGCTTGCCAGCTGCTGTAACAAATCGCCACAGGCTGAGTGGCTTATAATCAACAGCTTTATTTCTCACAGTTCTGGAGGCTGGAAGTCTGAGTTCAGTGTGCCAGCATGGTTGGGTGAGGGCTTTCTTCTGGGTCACAGATTTCTTGTTGTATCCTACATGGTGGCAAGGGTGAGGGATCTCTCTAGGGCCTCTTATATAAGGGCACTAATCTCATTCATGAGGGCTCCACCCTCATGACCTAATGATGTCCCAGAAGCCTCACTTCCTAATACCATCACATTGGGTATTAGGATTTCAACATATGAATTTTAAGGGAACACAGATATGCAATATATAGCAGTGTATAGTGATGTAAGATGGTGTAGTAGTATGGAAGCTTTGAACGTGTGCATGGCATATCTATGTGGTATGTGGTGTTCGATATTGCTGTGTATTTCTGGCAAATGCTAACCCCACTGTTTGATGTGTGGATGTGGATGTGATAGGAATGACAAGACATGTGGCAGAAGATTGGTGGTTATATCTATGACAGAGAAATGACACACAACCACATATCTTAGCAGTGATTGTTTGGTCACTTTGGCCCCTGCCCATAGGTTTCCTCTTAACGTTGGCCCCCTCTTTCTCTGTGCAGGATCTAAGACTGGAAATGACTCAAGCATCATTGGTTGTGTTTTTTTGGTGGTTTTTGTTGTTGTTGTTGTTTTAAAATATATTTTTATTGATTTCAGAGAGAGGAAGGGAGAGGGAGAGAGAAATAGAAACATTAATGATTGCTACCTCCTGCATGCCCCTTGCTGGGGATCAAGTCTGTAACTCATGCATGTGCCCTGACCCAGAATCGAACTGCAGTCTCCTGGATCCTAGGTCAATGCTCAAACACTGAGCCATGCTTCGCCAGCGGATCATTGGTATTTTGATTGTCGTTTTCTGTATTGGAGCAATCTTTTTAACTGAATGGGTTTCAACCATTTTACACTTTCCAAAGAAGATAAACAAATGACCAGCAAGTACATAAAAAGGTGCTCAACATCATTAATCATCAGGGAAATGCAAATTAAAACAATGAGTTATCACTTCATCCCTGTTGGAGTGACTATTATAAAAAAGACAAGAAATAAAAAGTATTGGCAAGGATGTGGAGAAAAAGGAAGACTTGTGTAATATTGGTGGGAATGTAAATTGGTGTCGCCATTATAGAAAACGGTATGGAAGTTCCTCAAAAAAGTTAAAAATAGAACTACCATATGATCCAGCAATTCCACTTCTGGATATTTATCCAAAGGAAAGGAAAACTCTAACTTGAAAAGGTATCTGTACCCCCATGTTCACTGCAGCATTATTTACAATAGCCAAGACATGGAAATAAATTCAGTATCGTCGATGGATGAATGGATAAAAGAAGATGTGATACACTCACACACACATAATCATGTGTCACTTAACAAAGGGGATGCATTCTGAGAAATGCGTTGTTAGGCAATTTCACCATTGTGTTAACATCATTGATGGTACTTACACAAACCTAGATCATATAGCCTCTTGCTCCTGTACATTCAGGCTATACAGGAACAATAATAAAAAAACAATATGAAACTAAATCAAGCACAAGAGAAAATGATGCCATCAAGAGATGCAGTTAACACACACACTAGGCTGCTATTAGTGTAACACCACATACTGTTTTACAGCAAACTTATTTTTATATGTACAAAGAGTACACTCTAAAATAGCAATAAATGGCCCTGGCCAGGTGGCTCAGTTGGCTGGAGTGTCATTCAGTACCCAAAAAGGTTGCGGGTTCAGTTCCTGGTCAGGCCACATACCTAGGTTGCGGGTTCAATCCCCAGTTGGAGCAGGTACCAGAGGCAACAGATCAGTGTTTGCCTCCAACATTGATGTTTCTCTCTCTCTCTCTAAAATCAATTAAAACATATCCTCGGGTGAAGATTTAAAAACAACAACAAAGTATAGCACAGTAATAACACGAGCCAGTAACAATCATTTATTATCATTATCCAGTATTACACACTGTGCATAATTATATATACTTTTATATGACTGGGAGTACAGTAGTTTACACCAACATCACCACAAACATGTGAATAATGTGTTGTGCTACAATGTTAGGGCTCACTAGGTGCTAGGAGTTTTTAAGCTCCACTCTAAGCTCATGGGACCATAGTTGTATATGCAGTCAGTCCATTGTTCCTCAAAACGTTATGAGACACATGGCTGTGTACACAATGAAATATTATTCAGCCATAAAAAAAAGGAAATCTTGCCATTCATGACAATGCAATGGACCTTGAGGGCAGTATTTTAAGTGAAATAAATCAGAGAAAGTTATGTATGATCTCCCTTATATGTGAATCTAAAAAAATACAAACACAAAAAATGAGCTCATAGATACCAAGAACAGATTGGTGGTTGTTTAAGGTAGGGGATAGGAAATGGGCAAAATGGGTGAAGGAGGTCAAAAGGCACAGACTTTGAGTTTTAAAATAAGTCATGGGGATGTGATATACAGCGTGGTGACTTGAGTTAGTAATACTGTATAGCATATTTGAAAGTTGCTAAAAGTAAATCTTAAAGATCATCACAAGAAAAAATTTGTAACTGTATGGTGATGGATTTTAATTAGATTTAATGAGGTGATTATTTCACAATATATACAAATATCAAATTTTATGCTGTATACCTGAAACTCATGTAATGTTATATGTCAATTATACCTCAATTAAAAAAAGAGGTGGGATGGGGGAGAGAAAGCAACACTTCCTGTTTCCAGACTGTGGCCCGTTTCCATTTCAAATTCTATTTATTTGTTCAGTGAGATCAATCTGTACACACCAGTATATGAATAAAAGTATCCACTTTTAATTTATAGCAGAGTTGTTATTTGATAGAAGATAAATGACTTGCTCCCCATCTCATGGCTAGTAGAGCTTGGATTTTTAATCAATATACCAAATCACCAAGGAAGATCCAGGGTGTGGTTGGGCTGTGAATCATGAACTTGATTATTAATTAGGTCTAGAGGAGAGGCTTCCTCTGTATAGTTCTAGTTTGTTCTTAGGGGGAGACCTGTGGTTGGTGTGTTTGGCCCTTGCCTTATTTTCCGTACCTAAACCAAGGTGGCTGATGCTGTTCCTAATTGGATGAAAGTATGGGCTCCTCAGCCAGGACAGGTTGATAGGGCTCTGGAGGGTCTCATGCCAGATATTGGTCATGGGTAACATACAGTGTGGTTCTGAATACAGTTACCAGGGATGTGCAGCTGTATTTCAGGAGCTCTGTAGGACAGAGAAGCCCTGTTCCCATTTCTACTGGATGGAGTAATGACTCGGGCATAGTTCTTAGGTCACTCAGGAGGGGTACAATGAGCAGAACTTGGAAGTCTCTTGACTTTGACAATTTTCAACTGATGTGCCACGGCAAGAATTTCTTGTGTGTGTGTAAATTTCCAGTTTATTCATTGATGATAGATCTGTAATACATTTGCATGATATTACCCAATGCCCTTTACCCCAAATCCCTACAAATCCAAATCTGTTCCTCTTTTAAAGTTAAACTCAAATGTCACATCCATTTCAAATTCTATTTCTTTGTTCAGTGAGATCAATCTGTACACACCAGTATATGAATAAAAGTATCTGAATTATCTTTGTCCTTTAGCTTTCTGCTTTTTTAAAATTCATCTTTATTGTTGAAAATATTACCAATGTCCCCTTTTTTCTCCATTGGCTCTTTCCACCCTGCACCCACTCCCCGGCCCAGGCCTTCACCACACTATTGTTTGTGTCCATAGATTATGCATATATGCAAGAATTTTTAAAACATGCAATACCTGACTATTTAGTCAAGGGCACTGACCTCTTTTCCCTTAGATTGTCAAATAAAAAAATGACAACAGCTAACATAACAATAGTTGTCCAGTGTGAATCAAAATTATACCTATTTTTTTGTGAGATTGACAAAAATATATTTTTTGCTGAGTTTTGGAATTTTAGTAATTAGTTTATGTGCCATGAGATGAAAAAGGTTGAAAATCGCTGGCCTAGAGGGATGAGTAGAACAGGCTCCTCATAGCTGAGCTCCCACCTGAGGGTTAGAGTGGCTTTTAGTGGTGGCACGTGGGGATTGCAACATCAGTGTGGTTGGTGCCTATTACGAGAATATAATTAGAGGAACCAATAAATCTCAAAGTGAAAGGAGGCACATGACAACAGTGGCACTGTGGAACAAATGAAGTAGTCCAAAGCTGTTTACAGTGGTTGAAAGAGAATGACACCCTTTGGGAAAAACTAGTAAAGGAGACGAGATTTTATAAATTTAGCAAAAGAAATTATAATTTTGTAGAGATTGCAATAGAACAGTAAAATAATACAAGAGAAAAAGGAAAATATAATTAGATGGGAAAATCATAAATGGATTTTAAAAAAATATATCTTTATTGATTTCATAGAGAGGAAAGGAGAGGGAGAGAGAGACAGAAACATCAATGATGAGAGAGTCATTGATCGGCCACCTCCTGCACACCCCTGACTGGGCATCGAGCCTGCAACCCGGGCATGTGCCCTGACCGGGAATCGAACCCTGATCACCTGGATCCGGGGTCGATGCTCAACCGCTGAGCCACGCCCGGCTGGACACAAATAGATCTTTTTATAGGAAGGTGAAAATAATAGATGTAAAACATGGGGAATGGTAAATGGACATTATTGATTGGAAGAGAGTCTATGATGTAGGAAAAAAAAAGGCATCAAGGAGTTACTAAACTCAGAAATAAGGATGCTGGTCAGACCTTGGGAGACCTGAAGAGAGGCACGAAAGAGGCAGAATTATGGGATGATTTTCATTTTTCCACTTCCAAGATGGATGGGAAACCAAGGACGCAGTAGGACTTTAACAGGAGTCTCAGTCAGACTCTACTGCATTTACTTCTCTCTGGGTTACCCTGGAGTGACTTCCCTTCCCCAAGAATAATGACCTTATGAGAAAAACTGGAATGGATCATATAAAGAGAACACAGAGGTAGGGCTCCCCAAAGTCTGGTTTGCTTCACTTTGGGTGCTGATAGTCTGTAGAGGAGGAGTTTGAGATGCATTTGTGTTGCAAGGGATGATGCCCCTTCACGAAGGGGAGGTGTGTGGCTGAAGAAAGCTTCGGGGCACCGCTGACCTCACCTGTACTCCTGTACACCCTTGCTCCTCCCAGTGAAGGAAATAAATTTGTGTAGTTGCACACGCACGTTGCATTACTTTTTCATTCATTGACATCAGTGTCTGAGGTCAGGGGAAAGGAAGAAGTTCGCACTCCTGTACACAAGTTGGCCAGCCTGGGTGACCAGCCTTTTGTGTCACTTCAGAGTTGGGTCTGCCCAGAGTGGAAATAGAGTAGGATGTAGGTAGCACCTGCTTCCCTTTCCATGAAGAAATACAATGCCCCAGGTAGGTGGACCTGGCAGAGAAGTTGCCAATTAATTTAGAATTTAGTGCAATAAAGACGCTCTCTGGGACCCACTCTGATTTGAATCCCACTGTTCTCTTTCCCCAGCTTCTTTCAAGCTGGAACAGATCTGTTCTCCACACCTGCCCTAGTCTGGGGTCAACATGACTTTGGCATACAAAATTCATATCTTCTTCCCCAAAGTCTTCTGCATGCCTTGGTACTAGATAAGGTGTCTGATATCGGAACCGGGGTTGATTTCAGAGGTGAGTCTAGAGACACGTAGGGAGCCAAGGCTTCTCTACTCCTAGCAGAAAGCTCCTTGGGAAGGTTCTCCCTAAGAAAAGCTGTTGGGTAGGAACTCACATGCAGGGTGGAACTGGGAGGATGCCACCTGTGGAAAGTAGGTCCTGTAGAAGGTGGGTGAGTCCTTTCCAGCAGAAGGGCCATGTGGGGACATCGAGGTGACTGGCTGGAGATGCCAAATCCATAGGTGTTACTATAGCTGAGCCTGTCATTAGTCTCAAATCTGGGACTCAGGGAGGCCCAAGGGCTTCCCAAGCTATACTTTCCCTCTTGTTCTTGGTCTAGAGATAACTGTCTGTGGTGGATTTGATACTTAGAAAAGGTGGCACCCCTAGTAAAAGCTGGAGCTCAGGTCACTGGGATTGTGCAGCAGTCTGAGACAGACTCAGAACCAAGTCTTGGGTCTGCCATTTACTAGCTGTGAGATTTTAGCGAGTTAATGTCACTTCTGATCCTGTTTCATCTGCAAACTTGGAGAACAGCACCTCCATCAGCACTGGACCATAGTGAAACGACGTACTTCCCTCCCGTCTCCAGGAGGCCTGGCAGAGAGTCAGTTCTACAGACAGGGTGTGGACTTGCATGGCCTGCTGTCTGTTCTTATATGATGTCCAATGCTGTCCTGGAGGCAGCAGGTCAGAATCTAAATTCTCACAGAAGTTCCTGCTGGGCTGAGTAGAGCTCAGGGGACCTTCCTTGGCCAGGTTAGTCCAGTGCTTTAAAGCAGGGGTGCCCCCAGATAGAAGGAACATTATCAGTGGGCAAGAACATTTACAAGGGTCAAGAAAGACTTGGTCCAGCTTCTCCTCCAAGCCTGGAACTTTCCAGCTTCTCCCTGAGCTAAGCCACTCTCTTAAGAGTGGAGAGCCTAGGACCAGTGGCCCTGATTTTCTGGGATAAAGTAGGTCTTCTTTGTGGCCAGCAGGTGGCACTGGCACCTCTCAGTTCTGCCAGTTCACTGCCACCAGTTCACTGCCACCAGTGGCTTAAGGTCAGGCTAGACGAAAGTTACTATGGATGGGGTTCCAAGGATGGTGCTGCCAAGGGGTTTTGCAGTGGGTCTGGCCCCTCTTCTGGCCTTAAGAACAGCCAATCTAAGTCCCAAGAGCCAGGCACTGCCTCCAAATTCTGGGCTGACTCTGAGTAGCTTCTCATTTCTTTTTCCTCTAAACCAGAAATGGGTCAGCTCAGCAAAGACAGAGGCTGTGTGATGCAGGGAGGGGACAGCTTAGAGCTTGGAGCTGCAGCAGCAGCAGCTTTCTGGCTCTCAGCCCTGCCTCTTGAGTAGCCTGGGACAAATTCTCACTGATCCAACAAAAGCCCTCTGCAGGCCTCAAACTGTAGCAATAACCCTGGCTTCTTGTCCTCTACACCATCCATCACTCATTCATTCATTCATTCATTCATTCATTCATTCATTCATTCATTCATTCATTCAGCACTTACTCAGTGCCAGGCATAGTGCTAGGTCAGACACAGTCCCTGACCTCAAGGAGCCATGGACTTGGGGATGGGGAGACAAACCTATAAACACAGGCAAAAGTAGAACGCCCACAAACACAGACAAAGGGCCATGTCTTTCCAGAGGAATCAAGGAAGGTTTCAAGGAGGCATCCTTTGACCTAGACTTTTATGGATTCAACAGGCAGAGATGAGGCCTGGGCAGTCTAAGCAAAGGGAGTAACATAGGCAAAGGCTCGGAGGTAAGGTCAATGTTATATGCAAAGAGGGGATAGTAAGGCAGTAATGGAAGTGGGAGGGTGCACAAGGTCCTAGCAACTGTGACCTGTAAGGCTAGAAAGCAGGCAAAGCCTGACATGCTGGATATCAGTCTAGCCTTAACCCAGAAGGTGATGGGGAACTACTGCAGGTAGTTGACATGGGAGGGGATGATCACAAGCATTTTAATAAGACCACTGGTGGCTGCATGGCAGATGGACAGAAGGGGTGAGATGGAGACAAGAAGATCAGGTAATAGGCATTACCACAGCCACTGTGATTAGCTCAGAGGGGGCATTGTGAAGAAAATAAGACCAGGTAGAGAATCTCATTACTGAGGGGAAATATAATAGCACCCTCTCTCTTAACATCTGCTTCGTCAGTTGTCTCATCATGTGGCTGATTCAATAACAATCACAATAGTTGACATTTATTGAGCACTTATTATGGACCAGACATGCAAGCATTTTATATATATTTTTCACTTCCTCCCACAACAATTCTATGAGGTAGGTACTATTAGTATGCCTACTTTATAGATGAGGCAACTGAGGCACAGAGAGGTTAAGTTGGTTGATCAAGGTCTTAAAGCTAGAGCCAGAATTTGAACCCAGGCAGCTGGCTTGTGAGCTTATGCTCCTATCACTACACTAATGCATATGATGTCCTTGCCTCTCTCCCTGAGCACCCAAGCCTTGCAGCAGATTCCTGAGAACAGAGGCGGGGCTATAAACCTGGTGGGTGTCCAAAGGTTGAAATGGCCAGACAGGCTGGCAGGGCAAAAGGGGAAATGTCTCCCTGAACTGGGGAAGAGGGCCAGTCTCAGGTTTCCTTCCACGCCTCCATGGCACCTCTGAAATATGGGCTGGCACCTCCAGGCCCTACTCTCTCTGTCCACCAGCATGACTGCTACCTCCCCAGCAAGAAGAGCCAGAGTTTAAGTCATTAAGGAGGGAGACTTTATTGACAGGGAAAAGGCGGAATTTTGGGTAAGTACACACAGTACTGCTCAGAGAGTCCAGGACTGGGGATAAGCCCATCAGGGCCAAGGACCCGTTTACCTTAGGGACCTTGCTTACCCCCACCATCCTGAGCTTTCCAACATCTCCTTTTATAACAACCCATAGACCCTCCATAGTCACCCTCTGGACAAAGTCAGTGGTAGCCACTGGTGGGGAGCCAGGACCAGAGTTTGGTGTGAGGCCCACTAAGTGTAGTGGGCCCAGGAACCCCCTCTCCTAAACCTCCTTCTGCTCGGCATGCCAATGTCTGTCCCAGCCCACCCCAGCCTCTTAGGGTGGGGGACAGAATGGGAACAGGCGGCCTCAGCAGCCCCAGCCCAAGGAGCCCTCACCATAGAAGGCTTGGTGTTGAGGCAAAGGGTAGGGGCACAGGACCCATCTCCCCTTCCCTGTGCCTGAAAGGACTCAGCAAAGCTGAGCATCCTCATGCCATTTCCTCCCTGCCAGAGCCTGCCCCGTGGAGGGGAGTCCTGTCAGCTCAGCCTGTCCCTGCCTGTGTAGGCTCCACACCTCCAATCTTCCAGCTGGAATGTGCTCCCTCCCTCATCAACTGCCCTCCCCAGCTGGCCCTGCCCACTCTTTAGCTCATCATGTTTTCAGGGCCCAAGGACATCTCTTGGGGCCATAGAAACACAGCAGCAGTCCCTCAACCTGAGGGCTGTTCTTCCCCAGCCATCTGCTCAGCTGTGGCTGACTGATCATGGGGCTCCAGGAGTAACTGGAGACACAGCTTTAGGGACCGACACTTCCCACAGTTTCCCCAGCGTTGAGTCCAGGGAGGGGGAGCCAACCAGTTCTGAGTTGGTGCCGGGAAGAGCAGGGACAAAAATAACTCAGTACAGGCTCCCCAGAAATAGGTAGTGACAATGCCTTGTAACACCCTGGGCAAGTAGCAGCGGCGACGCTGAGCTGGGGAGGGCCCAACCTCAGACCAGGTCCTGGCCTGGCCAAGAGGCCCACACCATGTCCACTCTACGTACCATACCACACTGCCCATGTGCACACATGTGGGGTGGGAGCCCAAGGGACCATGGCTCAGGACAGGGAATCCGGAGAGATGCTAAACCTGGGCTTGGCCTTGGCCATGGCCACGCTGCGCTTACGCAGTGGACCACGGGCTGAGGCGAGGGTTAGGGCATCCAGTAGGCTGCGGTCCTCATCAAGCTGGCGGGCCGTGCAGAGTGGTGTAGGAACTTTGATGGTGTTGCCAAACTTGGAGTAGTCCACAGCGTAGCGGCCATCCTCCTCGGACACAATGGGTACAAAGCGCTGACCCCACAGGATCTCATCGGCCAGGTAGGAGGTGCGGGCTTGGGTGGTGATGCCCGTGGTTTCCACCACACCTTCCAGGATGACAATGATCTCCAGGTCCTGATGGTGGTGCAGGTCACTGGGCCCCAGGTCGTAGAGTGGGCTGTTGGCATCAATGATGTGGTAGATGATGAGGGGAGCCACCAGGAAGATGCTGTTCCCACCCACGCCATTCTCCATAGGGATGTCCACCTGGTGCAGGGGCACCACCTCGCCCTCAGGGCTGGTGGTCTTGCGCACCACCTGCATGTGGATGGTGGCACTGATGATCATGCTCTTGCGGAGGTCACCGACGCGCAGCATGAAGCAGAGGCGGCCTTGGCGCAAGGCAATGACCGCGTGCTTGCTGAAGATGAGGGTCTCGGCCCGCCGGTGGGCCTGGGCGGTCTTCATGAAGATGCAGCCCAGCATGATGGCGTTGATCATGAGCCCCACGATGTTCTGCACGATGAGGATCAGGATGGCCAGCGGGCACTCCTCCGTCACCATGCGCCCGCCAAAGCCAATGGTCACTTGGACCTCAATGGAGAAAAGGAAGGCAGATGAAAAAGAGTGGATGCTGGTGACGCAGGGCACAATGGCACCCTCTCCAGGGGTCAGGTCACCAGGAGCCAGGTCACCGTGGGCGAAGGCGATGAGCCACCAGACCATGGCAAAGAGCAGCCAGCTGCACAGGAAGGACATAGTGAAGATGAGCAGCGTGTGCGGCCACTTGAGGTCCACTAGCGTGGTGAACACATCCTGCAGGAAGCGGCCCTGCTCCCGGATGTTTTTGTGGGCTACGTTGCAGTTGCCTTTCTTGGACACGAAGCGGGCCCTTCTCTCACGGGCACGGTACCGGGGCTCCGCAGGGTCCTCTGCCAGCCGGGTCAGCACATACTCCTCAGGGATGATGCCCTTGCGGGACAGCATGGCTCTGGCGACCACCAGGGAGAGGCGTCCTTCATGGGGGGTGTCCCCTCACCAGCCTCAGGCCTCCCTGTGGGGTTCCCTCTCTGGGTACCCTTCCACTCTGGGACCACCCTCAATCTGTGCTGCTGGCCTCACTTCTGAGATGCCTGCGCAACTGGAGTCATCCTCACCTCCATCTGGCCCCTGCTTTACTTTATATACCAGGCTTACACGCCTCAGCCCGCCTGCCCATTGCCTAGGGCGCCCCCACCTTACCAGTTCCCCACTGGGCCCTAGATTTCAGCTCAACGCTCCTCCACCCGCTGACCACCCCTGGGCGTCTCCCTGTCTAAGACCCCTTCTCCCCACCCGGCGTTCCTTCTCGACCCACCTCTTCCACTTGGAACTTAACACCTCTGGTGATTATCAACTGACCAGACCTCACACAACCCCCACCGTGTCTTCTGCCTCACCCATTTCTGTCCCCGTGTCCCCTCCAAGCTAGTTTCATATCCTGACCACCACCCAGTCTCACCTCCAGGTATGTCCCCTCCTTCCTACCCCACCCCCCGCAGCGCTTTCGCGGCTCTCCGGATCCTCCCTCCAGCTACCGTCCTCTCTGTCTCCTTGATATCCTGCTCCCTCCAGAGTCACCACCCCACCCAGCTCAGCTCCAGATCCCCTCACCCTTCGCGCGCCCCGACCCGCTCAGCCGGGAGTCGGGGCCTCTCGGCCCCCCTCGGGC